GCACAAGTCAGCAAGAACATTTTCCCATTTGATTCCTGGCATAGCCATTTGTCTGTAGGACCAAAGCGTTTGGAGTTTTTCATCTGTAGCGGTGCTTTATTATGTTTATGTTTTTGTGGAATTCCTTCTTTATTTCAGGTAGAGTGAGGTATAAATTTGCGTCGTTTTGGAACAGGAACCATACACTAAAAGCATTGCAACGTGCAGTTAATAATTATCATGCAATGTTAGAAGTTGAAAAGAAGGTCTCTCTCCATTTTTACGTTTGTGTTACTCTTCCTCTATGTGCTGTATTCAATATTTGCTGGTTATTCAAGAAGTTAAATTTGATGTTGTTGCCTGAAATCTTAACATGTTACATCTGTTGGGTTGCTTTCTTACCATATAGGAGAGAGCAGAGTCTGCTTTACGTGCTCATAGTAGCTCTGTGAAAGGAGGTGGTAAAGTACAGGTCAAAGCTCCTGAAGATACTGCAGCTGTACCTGTAAAGTTTCAGGCTTTCATCAAGGAAGAAGTCCTTGTCAACATCTACAATGTAAATATTCGGTTTTTCTTCTTAGTGCTATCGTTGTTTGAAGATATTGTTCTGAATTTCTTACATCATTCTCTCCGTATGCAGGATGTTTTCGCCAGCACACCTGAGCAAGTCCTGAACGTCTTGTTGGCTGATGATTCCACTTATACTAATGAGTACAGATCTGCACGGAAGGACAAAAATCTTAATGTAAGTTTGGCATTGGTATCTAGATCATTAGTCTTCATACATATGTGCTCTCTTTTTGCGGTTTCCACTGTATTGCTTACATGCTTTAAAGCTGCACTCTTAAGACTCGACTTCTCAGTAACCTCATTGTTGTCTGTTTGTTATCTTTTAGATTGAGCCGTGGCATACTGCTGAAGAATATGATGGTCAAGTTAGAGAGATTAAGTTCAGATCCATTTGTAATAGTCCGATGTGTCCACCAGACACTGCTGTGACGGAATGGCAGCACGTTGTTCTATCACCAGATAAGAAAGTGCTGGTATGAACGATACATTGAAATTGTATTCCTGTGGGATATAGTAGTTGCCAATGTTATTTAGGGAAAATGTAAAAAGAAAATCCTGTCTGATAATACTTGTCTTCCCTTCTTTCAGGTTTTTGAAACTGTGCAACAGCCACATGATGTTCCTTTTGGTTCTTACTTTGAGGTATGTTACCTGTGAGGAAAATGTGGTTCTTGTTTCATCATTCTGTTTGCAAACCAACCATTCAAATTTCACATTGCCATGATTTATAAATTATGTTTGTATATCAGGTCCACTGTCGATGGCGCTTGGAAGCTAAAGACGAGACTTCATCTGTTATAGATATAAGAGTCGGTAAGTGAACCCAAGTATCCAGCCTCAAACTATTAATGATTCTACTTATTCAGAAGTGTGAAATTCTGCAATGCACATTGTGTGGAATGATCCCTTTGGCTTCATCAATAGGTGTACATTTCAAAAAATGGTGTTTGATGCAATCGAAGATTAAAGCAGGGGCAATTGACGAGGTTAGTTTGATGCCCTTTAGTTCAATCGATAAACTAAAAAGGCGTCATTTTTGTCTGATGCATTTGTTTTTGACACTTTACACAGTACAAGAAAGAAGTGGAAGTGATGCTAGAAGTGGCATTGTCGTATCTCTCAAGTCACACTCATCCTCAAGTAGCCTTGGTGATATAGACAAGTCTGCTCTATCATCTCCAACACCAGAAAACATCAGCTAAAACCTAATTTACCAAAATCAACAAGCTTCTCAAAGTTTCATTCTCCAGCCAGCCAATTATTTTTCTTCCTTTTTTACATGTTAAAGTGTATATGCGGTAACGGTAATTAGAATGAATATTTACAGGGGCTTGTCTGATTTCTGGTACATCTGACAGATAACAAAGGAAAACTTTGAGTTCTCTCACAACTCTATCTATATTGGCAAATACTAAGTATGTAACAATTCCAATTTTCAGAGCAAACAAAGAACCATAAACCCTTGTGTAACCATATTATAGACTCAACCAGAAGGACAAGACAAAATTCAAACATTTCATGAACTGCAAAACATTTGAAGCCTAAATCTCTGTCCATGTCACAGACGGTACAAACAACTTGGGATTGCAATACAGATAAAAGATCAATCCTGATACTTGCAACATTCGATTCAACAGCTAGAAGAAGAAAACCAGCAAACTATTTAGCAGGAAAGTCTCAGAATTTGACAGCGGTTGTCCAGGTGCCTTGAACACTGGGGTGTTTGGTGACATGTCTGGTCCTCAGTTTAACCACTTTCCTTCCAAGCGAGTTCCTCAGCCTTGTTGCATTCAGAAGCACTTCTTCAGGATCCATGTTCTTCACACACACCACCCTTTCATTTCTATTCCCTATGAATTGTGCAAGTGATATTGCTAATGTCAACAACTGTTACATAGACAGGTTGCATTGCCTGTAATGAACGATAAGAGGAAAAAGATTCATACTGTAAATGCCCTTCAAATAAGGATGTTGTCCCCGTGAAAGCTCGGTAACCACTTCAAGCTGCGGGTTTTTCTCCTTTAGAGCAGGCAATTCTGATTCCATAAAGGCTCTGTAAGTATAGCAAAAAAATCAAACACATCAGAGAATGATCAGAGGAAAATGCTCAGTACCTAACTATGAAATGGTAACGGTTCATTACTAAAACAGTTTGCTTCACCTTTCTAAACAGAGAGCATTGGAAACCCACATGGATAAGAGAACAATGGACCAAATTTCTAAACATGAAAAGTTAATTTGCTTCACAAATACGAAGTAAAGGCACATAGATTCGTATAAATAGTCTCAAGTTCAAAGTGAATTATAGGGAAAATGGTAGATCGATGAAAAATACGGCTCATAGATTGCGAAATCAAATATTAGGTAAACAAATTTACCTGATGCCTCTACTGCTACCACCCCAGTTACAGTAGCTCACAACAAGTTTCTTGAGCTGCCAAACTCCTCTAAGCGCCATTTGAATCTCGGTAAGAGAAACAAAAACCCTAACCGGGATGTGTAAAAATGATAACAAAAGAAGAAGTAGAAGATGATCACGTGATAGATGCACGTGACTTAGACTAAATAAACTGAAATGGGCTCTTATTGGGCTTAAACAAAAAAGCCTGTACTCTGTAATTTTAATAAATTTCTTGTAACATACACGTTTTTCTTATATTGGGCTTAAACAAAAAAGCCTGTACTCTTTTTTTTTTTTTGATTGATTGATACGCAAGTATTTTGCCCTAATCACATATAGGGTATTTAGTATTTACGTATTGTTTACTGAATCACAAAAGGCAAGACAATAAAAACAAAACTTGAGAGAAGAAAATAAACATGGCTGCTGCTTATTCAGCAAGTACAAGTGGTTATATTGGTCATGATCTCGACAATATCCTCCTAAGGCTTCCGTTGAAGTCTATCATCAGATTCAAGTCCGTTTCGAAGCAATGGAAATCGTTTATCGAATCCCATAGTTTCGTCTAGAGACATCTGATAAAGAGTTCCTGTCGTTGGAAAATCCTTTTAGCTTTCGGTTGCAGAGACGGAGACGATTCTCCACCGTTTCTTTTCCCCGACGAAGACCAAGAAGAAATCTGCTATATCGGTAACTGCGACGCTTCTCTTATTTCACTGACATGCGACAGCTTAATCTGCATCCCGGGGTGGGATTCAATCCAATTTTGTAACCCGGTGATAAACAAATTTGTACTAACACTACAAGAACAGAGCCTATTTCCAACGGAAAAAATCGTCGGCATGGCGTCGAAAATGGCTGTTTCCGACGGATTTTCGACGGAAATTCGTTTCAAATTGCCGACGTTTTTCCGACGATAGCTTTTCCGACTTGTTTCCGACGGTTTTCGGACAATAGCTACGTTTAGGTAAACGGTTGGAAAATCGTCGGAACCGACCGTCGAAAACACGTCGGTGATGCTTTCCGACGGTTTCCTAACCAAAACTGTTGTCCGTTATTTCATCGGAACTTTGTCGGGAATCGGTTGGTATCAACGTTCGATGGTTTACTGACGGAGTGATTCCCGATGGTATTTTACTGACGGATTTTTGACGATGTTTAAGTAGCCGATGGATTACCGACGGATCATATTTAATCAGTAATTAAATAATTTTTTAATTTTAAAATTTTTTAAAAAACTATTTATTGAAAATTTTACTAAATAAATATATGAAATTTCTTACTAAATAAATATATGAAATTTTTTACTAAATAAATATTTGAAAAATGCATATATTATCCAACAAAAGAAAAGAAGATTGTTTACCAATACAACAAAATTAAACTAAAACAAAAGCATTTATAGATCATCGGGAAACAAAAACAAAACAGGTTGTCAAAAAAAAATTATAATTGGAAAGCAATGTTTGAGTGAAGTAGCGGAAGCTTTAAGATAGAATTAGAGATCTGTTGATTCTTCGGAATACCGAAAAACTACAGTTTCTCGGATCTATTGAACCTGGAGAATTCATTGATTCTTTGCGAATATCGAATCCCACGTTTTCTTATAATTGTTGAGATATCTCAAAATCTACCGAAAAAACAAGGATTAGAGAATGATAAAACTAAAAACTTTTTAAATTTTATTAATCAATCAACTGAATAAAGAAAAAACCATAAACGGCTTATTTATAATAAAATCCGAAAACCTAGATAAAAACTCTAAAATAATCATATAATTATCTAAAAGAATTAAAATCTAAATAATAAATAAATAGAAGATATTTAGAATATTTTCACATATATCTCTGGACAAGAAAAGATTCGTCCTAGATAAACTCTAAAACAATCATATAATTATCTAAAACAATTAAAATATAAATAATAAATAAATGGAAGATATATATTGGTTTTGGTAAGTATAAACATATATATATATATATATATATTGGTTTAATCAAATCATAAAGGCAACATATATAAAAACTAACCTTGAGAGAAGAAATTAAGCATGGCTGCTTATTCAACAACTAGTACGTATATTGGTCATGATCTCGTCGACGATATCCTCCTAAGTCTTCCGGTGAAGTCTATAATCAGATTCAAGTCCGTCTCGAAGCAATGGAAATCGTTAATCGAATCCCATAGTTTCGTCCAGAGACAGCTGAAGAATCCCCGACGTAAAATCCTTTTAGCTTTCGGTTGCAGAGACGACGGAGACGGAGACGATTCTCCGCCGTTTCTTTTCTCCGAAGAAAAAGAGGAAGAAATATGCTATATCGGCAACTGCGACGCTTCCCGTATTTCACTGACATGCGACGGCTTAATCTGTATCCCGGGGTCGGATTCCATTGAAGTTTGTAACCCGGCGACTAGAGAATCCCGACAATTTCCTGCCGGCGAACCCCTCGTCTCGGTCTCGAGTATGATCATACCTCATGCAGGAACCGGGCGTATCCCCGTCAGATCTCTTCCGCACCGTCGAAAATATATAGATCATGAACTCGTGCCTAGGTTCCCGACGACAACAAGCTCGTTTGGATTCGGTAAAGATGAAGTTACCGGGGCATATAAAGTGGTTGAGCTACGTTCCCACCCTAATCGCTCGCTCATCGTTGCGGATTGCAATGTTCTTGATCTCCAAACCGGGCGGTGGAGACACGTCAACCTCGTTCCCTATCGGATTTTTGTTACGGAAAGATCCGTCTATGTGAATGGTTCCGTTCACTGGTTCACTGTTGATCTCTGGGAACCAGGGAACGCTTCAAGAATTGTTGCATTTAATCTTCAGCTTGAAGAGTTTAGAGTCGTCTCCCACCCAAACCCTAACTTTTCTTCAGACGACAATGGCCACACTCCCCATTTCTCTGAGCTTCTCGTCCTCCGAGAGCGCCTCTCTGTATCGGAAATGAGGACCACTAATGTTCCCCATGCCCGACTAGATATTTGGAGCATGGTTGATGTACAAGAAGAAAGATGGGTTAAGATGCATTCATTGTGTTTATGCGACCTTTACCAACCACGACCAAGTGAGATTCAGCTATTCACGCCCTTGGCGATTCCTGATGACCAAGGAGATGGAGGAGTGCTGATCATCTGGGATTATCGAGAGTCTTTGTTCATGTCTTACCCTAACAATTTCCTCCTTAACAAGGTTTCTGCATACGCTCGTGTTGTTGCTTCTTCTTACTTCCAAACTCTCGTTACGGTTCACTAATTAACACCTGATGCGTGTCTCATCTCCTATGTGTTCTTCTTTACATGCTCGGCTTTTTGTTATGATTGTTCTTTTTTTTTTTAATAGATATATACAATTTACGATTACTTTTTTGTTTTACATAAAAATTCGACAAGATTTTGCAAGTGCTTTACTACGAGTCTAACTGTTGGGTGACAATGGGGAAAGTTGAGTAACTAAAAACACGGTCCAGGGTCTAAGGGAAACTACTTTATTCCGCGAAAAATACTAATCACCATCTTCATATGAATCAAGTACGTAAGACCTCATGATGCGTCCCCGTGTATTTGCCGGGGCTATCATACCAGGTAGACGTGTTGATGATCGCTTGATTTTTAGTTAGTGATCGTTATACACTCTTTTTCTCGACATACTCTCGAACAATCTACTCCAACCTTCCCTAATACGGGTCAGCCTAACACTCTTGGGTCGTCCAATAAGGTACCTAATGTAATCTCTTGCAAGACGGAACAACTCCTCCCCGTTAATGATGTAGATATACTGCCAAAGAGAAACAATGAGCAAAGCTAAAGATACTATTATTGATATATAACTTGTGTGAGCTTGTGATGTTGAAAGATAGTTTTAAATTAATTTTTGTTGGAATATTAAGAAGAAAAACAGTGCAAGAGACATTTGTCTCTTCTCTTGTAAAGAAGACAAGAACAAAAATAACTCTTTATTGAATCTGAAACTTGTTGTTTTATTAAGACAAGACACACACACTTATATACATGTTTACATAACTCTACGTAACCGTTGGTAACAGTTGTAACTTATCTCAGAAGTTACGTCTCTTACTCACACACACCCGTTCGAGTGAGTCACATGTAACACATGACATCCGTTGAATTTACCACATATGATATTAAAAGATTTAATCATGGACTCAATTCTAACATTTTTTAGTTTCTTTAGAGTACATACGAAACAATCATGTCATGTGATGTAGCAAAATCATGTATGGTTATAATAATTGTTCACTTTTATTTATGTTTAAATTTACTCTTTGTAATATATATTTACAATCTAAATTTCATTTTTCAATTTTTTTTTTTCTTTTATCTTATTATTATTAGTTTACAAAGTATTTCCCTCATCAATATAATCTCATAATTTATTTTCAAGTCATCCTTTTTTCTTTTTTTTCTTTTTTTTCTCCCAGCTTCTTATGTAAGCCTCTAAATATGAAGTTTTTGAAATTAAAGTAAGACGTGTAACTAAGATTTTAAGAAAAGATTTAAGATTGTCAATTTTATTGATAATTCTTACATTAATTATGTATAGTTTTTCTGAATTATTTTCTTAAAAAGAAAAGAGAAGAAGGCAGCAGATTTCAATGTCTAGAGAGGCACTGGGTCTTATGGGCTAAAGTCAACACAATATACTAGCCCAATTAAGCAGAAACTTGGACTATTGAGGCCTTTAAGGCAAATTTTTGTTTTTGTTTTGTGTGTGTGTGTGACAAATCGACACTTGTATCGAGAGATGGTGAGTGATAAAATTCAGACGCGGCCGAAAGTGCGATAAGATTGGGGGTTTGATAAATTGAGTAGTTTCGTACTTTCATTTTCACGGATTGGTTCAATTCGAAGAGAAGGAGAGAGGAATTGGGCAGAGATGAGATGGAGAGACGAATTTGAGAAGCTGTCGAGGAATATAAGCGGCGGCTACGACGATCCAACCACCACGGAAGAAGATTAGCGTCAGCTCCGACGGACTAATACTTTGTCGACCAGAAAGAAGACCGGCAAATTTGGCAACCTGGTGAGGAAGATTAGCGGCGGCTCCGACGTACTAACCAACGGGGAAGAAGACTTGCGGCGGCTCCGATAACCTATTCCTAGGTAATTGAATTTATCGGTTATTTCCGGTTTAATACAAAACCGAACATTTTTTTTAAACGAATCGATTTTAACGAGAACCGAATCTTAAATAAACCATTCGATGTCCTCCCAAACCAAACATTTTAAAACTCAATTGGTTTTTCTTTTTTTTTTTGAAATCCGGACCCATTCGATTTTCCCGGTTTATCTTTCCCTCTATTTAAACCCAACGTTACTCTTCTTCTTCCTCTTCGCTCTCCTTCATCTTCTTTCTCGCTTTCTTGGAAAAAATGGCTTCTTTTGATCTTCACGTCTCAAGCAAGATGGGCGTCCGGGTATATCTGGGTTTAGTGTTATTTCCTTGCATCTTTTTCGATCTTAAGTATCATGTTCTCATGTACACTTTCTTCTTCCTTTTCTTCCTTTTAGCCTGGTTTCGAGATCTTGGGGCCGGTTTCAGTAAAATATTATCAGAGAGACGCTGTGCACAAGATTTCGGAAATCCTCCAAATATGCCCCGATGATGCGTTTACCTTACTAAAATGCTTCCGTTGGTGTGGAGATCATGTTCTTGATGGCTGGTTTGATGGACTGATTGACACGTCCAAGTATCTCCTGTGCCCTTCTCCTAACGATGATGAGGTAACAACAATCTCTAAGAAGTAATTGTTATCTTGTTCTGAATCTTTACTTGCCTTTCGTCTCCTTTTGTGTAATCCTGGTCTATTGATCCTTCTTGATTCAAAGAGTATTAACCTGGTTTGATTTTCCTTTTTTGATCGCCAACCTTCAGTTCTGACCTCTTTATTTTCTCTTTTCTAATGTTTCTAGTTCTGCTGTGGCATTTGCTTCGATACTCTTCCTATTCTTAAGGCTGCGCCCTCTTTGTGTGGTCACCTTTATTGCAAAGGTTGCATGAAAGGTATTGATCACCATGCGTCTACTGTTTTGGTTTTGTTTCCTTTGCGTAATTCTCTATTCTAATTGTAGTCTTAATTCTCTATTCTAATTTTAGTCTCTTATTCTATACTCAGCATACCTCTCTGTTCTTGTAAAAGATCATGGATCAACTGTCCTAGACACCAAGTGTCCACATGAGAAATGTGACAGAACCTTAGGCCTAGGTTTAGTAAAAGCATCAGCAAGTCCTAGGGATTTCGAAAAATATCGTAGGTTTTCTATGAGGTCATACATTGAGGATAGTACAACGCGGAAATGGTGTCCTTCCCCTAACTGCAACTGTGCCATAGCACTCAAAGATCCATCATCGATTCTGTTGGCAGGTTAGTATTTCTGCTATTCTTTCCTTAACTTTCGTTAAAGACTTTTGTACTAAACAGTTTCATTTTGCTAACGTTTATATTCTTCTTTTAGTGTAACTGGGAAGGGCACTATCCTGCAGACTGCTCAATTGCCATTAACTGGTTGAGTTTTGAACACAATGAGAAGTGTAATAACTGGTAGGTATACACCTCTCTTACCCTTTCTAATCTTAGATAATTGGTATTAATAAATTGTTAAACTGTGCAGGAAAAAAGTTAACGCAAGACTATGCCCTAACTGTATGAAGCCTATCCACAGAGAAAGTGGATGCAATCACATGTCCTGTAGGTGCGGTTTTGAATTTTGTTGGTAAGTTAAGAATTGGTTTCATGCGTATTTATTACGAGTGACTGAGTTTTCATTTTATTTGTCAATTGGTTTCATGTGCAAGTGTTGTTTAAATCTCTGATTGTGATCTTTTTGTTATGATCTGTTATTATAGATGGGTAAACTTGATTTCATCTCACGCGTTGTTGTTTTGATTATGTTGATTTCACCTCTTTCATTTCAGTTTGCATCTGCTTCTGCTTTCGTTTCAGTCTGCATTTGGTTTGAGTGTGCATCTGCTTTCATTTCACACGTATCTCTTTTGATTGCGATGGTTTTAGTACACTTAGTTTCTTATTTTTTTTGTATGTAGGGTTTGTCTCAGAAGATGTTTTGGAGGAGGTTGGCATTACCCATGCATTCCCCCAGTGTCTACTTCCTCGACAGGAGTTCCAGAAGAGATGCAATTAATCCCCCCTGTTTCCGACATCGAAGTTCGCTACCGAAGTATTTTTGATCTTCGCGGGAAGATCTGCGAGAAAGCTGAAATCTACTGCAGAACATTCCACACTGTTCAAACCAAAATGGCATGGTTTGAGGTTAGTTTTAGTTTATTAGTTTGAACACTTTTTTTGTGAAAATGTTTCAACAGATGCTTTATGCAATGCAGATCCGGAGATGCTTGTCGATTTCTAAGTGGATATGTGCACTCGCTAGCTTTTACGGGTTGGATCTTAACCAATTTGTTAAGATTCAAGGTATATGCTAGAACTCTATAGGATCTGCACTAATTAAAGCTTGAACTAAATATATTTCTTTCCTTTTTTTTTGTTACAGAGGGGGCGCAGAATCAGCTGGAGATCTGAATCTCATGTGCTATAGGAGAAGCACCAGATATTAGAATCGAGGATTGCACCCAAAAGACCAGAGAACTCTATGAGCAGATGGTGGCAAGGCTGCAGTGGGAGGGCCAGTGGAACGTCTGAAGCTCCATTTTACCAGTTATTATAATTATAGGTGTTCTAGGTGCTACTATATGTGTTTAGTTGGACTCGAGCTATGGGAAATGTTTTGGAGTCTGTAATACCTTTCGAATGATTTCCATTTCAATAAAAAATTTACCACAAAAGTTTGTCTATTTTGCCATGGTTACATTTACTACTGGCTGCTATTACCACCAAGTAGTTTGACTTTCAAAGGAAGACGCAGAGCTGGTATCAGGAGGTAGCTCTCTAGTTCTATCAAACCGTAGATCTTTGTCCGGATACGTTTACATGTGTTTGATGTTGCTAACCCTTTTTCGTGGCAGGGAGTTTGAGAAAAAACGCAACTATTTGCGATGCGTTGAGTTCCCAGATATGAACAGTGAACCAGTAAAAAACAAGCTAAAGCTCTTGAGGATACTGCCTCTGGAACTGTAAAACTTCAGGCTTCCTTAAAGGAAGTACATTGTAAAGATAAGTTTTTTTGCCTTGTTAGTGCTTCAAGGGTACTGTCCTGAAACATTTGCATCATATTCTTGTATGCAGGATGTTTTTGGCAGCACACCTGACGTATTTCTGAACTAAATATAAGTTAGGCATTGCAATCTCTTCACATTTATTGCAATTTAAGTCTGAGCAACTTTTTTGATGTCGTTTTCTTTCCTACTCTTTTACGCAGTCCTATAGCTTCTTGCCAACAACCTCTGTCCATCCAAAAAAGTGAAAATGTATATTGGTGGCTTGATTTGTGAGTGAAAGCCAAACGGGTCCAGCGTGGCACTCATTAGGCATCCCATCTGGGCAGGTGTATTTTTCCTTAATTTCCGTATATTCTAGTAAATCTCATATGAGAATTCAAAAAATTTGTGCATGCAATGGGAATTCTTTTACATGTATAATGCTTTGATTAAGTCTGTGCAATTTTCCTTAGGTTGGTGTCTTGGTGAGCACAGTCTAGTTATTCATCTGCCTTGGAGAGGTCATTCCTGTATCATGGCTGAATGTATGCATCCGTCTGTCCGATATGTTTTCACTCCAATGTTTTCTCTAAGCAAATGAAGGTCAGTGCTTGTATATGTAACTACGTTTTGAGTTCTTTGAACCAATGCTAAAAAATTCCTTCACACATTTTGCAGGTTGTTGGAGATGTAAGATGAGGTAGTACTCTTTTGACCAGTCGAATTCTGTAGATTCTAACTGATAAGTGGACTAATCATTACTATCATAGATTCGTAGAAGTCAACATGCATTGATAAACTCATCTATAAGAATTCTTACTCGGATGGACGCTGGTGGACATTGGTGTTCCCGAGGACTCCTGATGGTTAGTAATTATGTTTGTTAGCGAATATTTGGGATTATTATACCAACGGTCATGCCTTACTTTATCTTCAGCGCACACTTGTTTGATAGTTAACGTTTTACCGGCAAAGGCCAGCAAGAACATTTCCCCATTTGATTAGTGGCATAGCCATTTGTCAGTAGGACCAAAGCTTTTGGAGTTTTACATCTGTAGTGGTGCTTTGTTATGTTTATTTCTCTGTAGAATTCCTTCTTTATTTCAGGTAGAGTGAGGTATAAATTTGCATTATTTTGGAAGAGGAACCATACGCTAAAAGGCATTGCAGCGTGTCGGTTAATAATTATATGCAACGTTAGAAGCTGAAACGAAGGTCTCTCTTCATTTTTATAAATAAATTTTTACGTTTATATGTTGCTCTTCCACCGCGTGCTATATTCAATATTTGCTGGTGAATGAAGATGTTCAATTTGATGTTGTTGCCTGAAATCTTAACACGTTACATCTGTTGGGTTGCTTTCTTACCATATAGGAGAGAGCAGAGTCTGCTTTACGTGCTCATAGTAGCTCTGTGAAAGGAGGTGGTAAAGTACAGGTCAAAGCTCCTGAAGATACTGCAGCTGTACCTGTAAAGTTTCAGGCTTTCATCAAGGAACAAGTCCTTGTGAACATCACAATGTAAACATTCTGTTTTTCTTGTTAGTGATATAGTTGTTCGAAGATATTGTTGTGTATTTTTCGCATCATACTCTTGTATCATGCAGGATGTTTTTGCCAGCACACCTGAGGAAGTCCTGAACGTCTTGTTGGCTGATGATTCCACTTATACTAATTAGTACAGATCTGCACGGGAGGATAAAAATCTTAATGTAAGTTTGAAATTGGTATCTAGGTCATTAGTCTTCATACATATGTGCTCTTTTTGTTGCGGTTTCCACTGAATTGCTTACATGCTTTAAAGCTGCGCTCTTAAGACTCGACTTCTCAAGAACCTCATTGTTGCCTGTTTGTTTTCTTTTAGATTGAACCGTGGCATACTGCTGAAGAATATGATGGTCAAGTTAGAGAGATTAAGTTCAGATCCATTTGTAATAGTCCGATGTGTCCACCAGACACTCCTGTGACGGAATGGCAGCACGTTGTTCTATCACCAGAGAAGAAAGTGCTGGTATGGACGATACATTAAAATTGTTTCCCTGTGGGATATAGTAGTTGCCAATGTTGTTTAGGGAAAATGTAAAATAAAAATCCTGTGTGATGATACTTGTCTTCCCTTCTTTCAGGTTTTTGAAACTGTGCAACAGCCACATGATGTTCCTTTTGGTTCTTACTTTGAGGTATGTTACCTATGAGGAAAATGTGGTTGTTGAGTCATCATTCTATTTGCAACCCACCAATCAAGTTTCACCTTGGCATGCTTTATAAATTCTGTTTGTATATCAGGTCCACTGTCGATGGCGCTTGGAAGCTAAAGACGAGACTTCATCTGTTATAGATATAAGAGTCGGTAAGTAAACCCAAGTACCCATCCTGTCAAACTATTAATGATTTCTACGTATCCAGAAGTGTGAAATTTTGCAATCCACATTGTGTGGAATGATCTCTTTGGCTTCATCAAGTAGGTGTACATTTCAAGAAATGGTGTTTGATGCAATCGAAGATTAAAGCAGGAGCAATTGGCGAGGTTAGTTTGGTGCCTTTAGTTCAATCGATTAAGTAAAAAGGTGCCATTTTAGGGTTTATCTGATGCATTTGTTTTTGACACTTTACACAGTACAAGAAAGACGTGGAAGTGATGCTAGAAGTGGCATTGTCGTATCTCAAGTCACACTCGTCCTCAAGCAGCCTTGGTGATATAGAAAAGTCTGCTCTATCTATCATCTCCAACACCAGAAAACATACGCTAAAACCTAATTTGCCAAAATCAAAAAGCTTCTCAAAGTTTCATTCTCCAGCCAGCCAATTAAAGATCATCCAGCGTCATTATTCTTCTTCTTTTATCTTATTAAAGTGTATATGTGGAAAAGGTAACTAGAACGGATATTTTCTGGAACCCGTGACAAATAACCAAGGAAAAATTTTGACTTCTCTCCACAAGTCTCATCTCTCTTGGCAAATACTAATATACAATAGATGGCAATCCCAATATCCAGAGAAAACAATGAACAGTGTGAAAACAATGAATTTTACCAGAAACCCTTGTGCAATCTTATTATATAGACTCAACCAGAAGGACAAGACAAAACATTTGAAGACTGTATATTTGTCCAAGTCACAGACGGTACAAACAACCTGGGATTGCAATATAGAGATAAACCGTCAATCCTGATACTTGCAACACTCGATTCAACAGCTAGAAGAAGAAAACCTGCAAACTATGTAGCAGTAAAGTTATCAGAATTTGACATGTCTGGTCCTCAGTTTCACCACTTTCCTTCCAAGCGAGTTCCTCAGCCTTGTTGCATTCAGAAGCACTTCTTCAGGATCCATGTTCTTCACACACACCACCCTTTCATTTCTATTCCCTATGAATTGTGCAAGTGATATTGCTAATGTCAACAACCTTTAAAGAAGGATGTGATGATAAG